TTGGCATTGCTCGTTCCTTGCTTTTCGGAACTCAGTCATTTGATTCAATATTTTAAAGTTATATCAACTACAAATTCTTCCGGAGGAATTCCATCTGTTTACTACCTCTTACAGTGTATGTGTGTGTACTCACCTAACTGTGGTTGCAAGGGTCGAGACTCAGCTCCTGGCCCCGCCTCTTCACTGACCGCTGCTAGATCCTCCCTCTCCCTGCTCCATGAGCTTTGTCATACCTCGTCTTAAAACTATGTATAGTTCCTGCCTCCACTACATCGCTTGCCAGACTATTCCACTTCCTAACTACTCTGACTGAAGAAATACTTCCTAAGATCCCTTTGACTCGTCTGAGTCTTCAGCTTCCAATTGTGACTCCTTGTTTCTGTGTCCCCTCTCTGGAACATCCTTTCTCTGTCCACCTTGTCTATTCCACGCAGAATTTTGTATGTCGTTATTATGTCTCCCTGACCCTCCTGTCCTCCAGTGTCGTCAGACCGATTTCCCTTAACCTTTCTTCATAGGACATTCCCCTTAGCTCAGGAACTAACCTTGTTGCAAACCTTTGCATTTTCTCTAATTTATTGACGTGTTTGACCAGGTGTGGGTTCCAAACTGATGCTGTGTGTGTGTGTGTGTGTGTGTGTGTGTGTGTGTGTGTGTGTGTGTGTGTGTGTGTGTGTGTGTGTGTGTGTGTGTGCGCGCGCGCGTGCGTGCGTGTTTAATATATCACACCCATGCCGGTAGGTATATGTGAGCATCTCTTCTGAACATTTTTTTTCAGTGTTAGATGATACATATCATGGCTTGTTGGCTGGATGTAGCGTGTATCATGGCTTGGTGGCTGAGTGTAGCGTGTATCATGGCTTGTTGGCTGGGTGTAGCGTGTATCATGGCTTGTTGGCTGGGTGTAGCGTGTATCATGGCTTGTTGGCTGGGTATAGCGTGTATCATGGCTTGTTGGCTGGGTGTAGCGTGTATCATGGCTTGTTGGCTGGGTGTAGCGTGTATCATGGCTTGGTGGCTGGGTGTAGCGTGTATCATGGCTTGTTGGCTGGGTGTAGCGTGTATCATGGCTTGTTGGCTGGGTGTAGCGTGTATCATGGCTTGGTGGCTGGGTGTAGCGTGTATCATGGCTTGTTGGCTGGGTGTAGCGTGTATCATGGCTTGTTGGCTGGGTATAGCGTGTATCATGGCTTGTTGGCTGGGTGTAGCGTGTATCATGGCTTGTTGGCTGGGTGTAGCGTGTATCATGGCTTGTTGGCTGGGTATAGCGTGTATCATGGCTTGTTGGCTGGGTATAGCGTGTATCATGGCTTGTTGGCTGGGTGTAGCGTGTATCATGGCTTGTTGGCTGGGTGTAGCGTGTATCATGCTTGGTGGCTGGGTGTAGCGTGTATCATGGCTTGTTGGCTGGGTGTAGCGTGTATCATGGCTTGTTGGCTGGGTGTAGCGTGTATCATGGCTTGTTGGCTGGGTGTAGCGTGTATCATGGCTTGTTGGCTGGGTGTACATGTATCATGGCTTGTTGGCTGAGTGTAGCGTGTATCATGGCTTAGTGGCTGGGTGTAGCGTGTATCATGGCTTGTTGGCTGGGTGTAGCGTGTATCATGGCTTGTTGGCTGGGTGTAGCGTGTATCATGGCTTGTTGGCTGGGTGTAGCGTGTATCATGGCTTGTTGGCTGGGTGTAGCGTGTATCATGGCTTGTTGGCTGGGTGTAGCGTGTATCATGGCTTGTTGGCTGGGTGTAGCGTGTATCATGGCTTGGTGGCTGGGTGTAGCGTGTATCATGGCTTGTTGGCTGGGTGTAGCGTGTATCATGGCTTGTTGGCTGGGTGTACATGTATCATGGCTTGTTGGCTGGGTGTAGCTTGTATCATGGCTTGTTGGCTGGGTGTAGCGTGTATCATGGCTTGTTGGCTGGGTGTAGCGTGTATCATGGCTTGTTGGCTGGGTGTACATGTATCATGGCTTGTTGGCTGGGTGTAGCGTGTATCATGGCTTGTTGGCTGGGTGTAGCGTGTATCATGGCTTGTTGGCTGGGTGTAGCGTGTATCATGGCTTGTTGGCTGGGTGTAGCGTGTATCATGGCTTGGTGGCTGGGTGTAGCGTGTATCATGGTTTGTTGGCTGGGTGTAGCGTGTATCATGGCTTGTTGGCTGGGTGTAGCGTGTATCATGGCTTGTTGGCTGGTGTGTAGCGTGTATCATGGCTTGTTGGCTGGGTGTAGCGTGTATCATGGCTTGTTGGCTGGGTGTAGCGTGTATCATGGCTTGGTTGGCTGGGTGTAGCGTGTATCATGGCTTGGTGGCTGGGTGTAGCGTGTATCATGGTTTGTTGGCTGGGTGTAGCGTGTATCATGGCTTGTTGGCTGGGTGTAGCGTGTATCATGGCTTGTTGGCTGGGTGTAGCGTTGTATCATGGCTTGTTGGCTGGGTGTAGCGTGTATCATGGCTTGGTGGCTGGGTGTAGCGTGTACATGGCTTGTTGGCTGGGTGTAGCGTGTATCATGGCTTGTTGGCTGGGTGTAGCGTGTATCATGGCTTGTTGGCTGGGTGTAGCGTGTATCATGGCTTGTTGGCTGGGTGTAGCGTGTATCATGGCTTGTTGGCTGGGTGTACTGTATCATGGCTTGTTGGCTGGGTGTAGCGTGTATCATGGCTTGTGGCTGGGTGTAGCGTGTATCATGGCTTGTTGGCTGGGTGTAGCTGTATCATGGCTTGTTGGCTGGGTGTAGCGTGTATCATGGCTTGTTGGCTGGGTGTAGCGTGTATCATGGCTTGTTGGCTGGGTGTAGCGTGTATCATGGCTTGTTGGCTGGGTGTAGCGTGTATCATGGCTTGTTGGCTGGGTGTAGCGTGTATCATGGCTTGGTTGGCTGGGTGTAGCGTGTATCATGGCTTGTTGGCTGGGTGTAGCGTGTATCATGGCTTGGTGCTGGGTGTAGCGTGTATCATGGCTTGGTTGGCTGGGTGTAGCGTGTATCATGGCTTGTTGGCTGGGTGTACATGTATCATGGCTTGGTTTGGCTGGTGTAGCGTGTATCATGGCTTGTTGGCTGGGTGTAAGCGTGTATCATGGCCTGTTGACTGGGTGTAGCGTGTATCATGGCTTGTTGGCTGGGTGTACGTGTATCATGGCTTGTTGGCTGGGTGTAGCGTGTATCATGGCTTGGTGGCTGGGTGTAGCGTGTATCATGGCTTGTGGCTGGTGTAGCGTGTATCATGGCTTGGTGGCTGGGTGTAGCGTGTATCATGGCTTGTTGGCTGGGTGTAGCGTGTATCATGGCTTGTTGGCTGGGTGTACATGTATCATGCTTGGTGGCTGAGTGTAGCGTTGTATCATGTGCTTGTTGGCTGGGTGTAGCGTGTATCATGGCTTGCGAGGGTAGCGATGTATCATGTGTGAGCTTGTAGCGGTATAGACTTTTGCCGGTGACGATCATCATGCTTATTAACTAGGGTAGCGTGTAATGTTGGTGGGTGAGTGTATCATCTCCGCAGGAGAGTAATTAATAACTAAAGACCCGGTTGACACATTATTAACTCAGAAGCGATTGATTTTCATCTCCGAGTTATAATCTTTACATTAAGTCTGAGAGTGTGAAGCACTATTAATTCCCAGGGAGGTGGCACTTCCCTGGGAAATGGCACTCTTTGTGGCAGTTCTCACTGCTCTGGGTAGCAGTATTCGCTGTAGACAGTAATCAGTGAGCCATTGCAAGCCAGTCCTTAAGGCCACATCCTCACCTGCACATCCACTCCACATCCCCAACCTCCACACAGTGGAGGCTGAGTATGTGGAGTGAGACACGAGAGGTGTATAGACCTATTCAAAAACAGGAGAGCCATGGTCATCAGTGAGAAAACACTGTCAACTTCCATGGGCCGCGACTCTTCACCCTGCTACCAGCAGATATCAAAAATATTGCTGCCACAGTTGTAGAAGTTTTCAAGACGAAACTGAATCACTACCTCCAAGGATATACACACCCCTAAGTAGCATGTATCAGGTACCATATACCAGTATGTACACACCCCAGGTACCATGCTCCTCTGGTCAAACACAAGTTCTGTGACGGGCACTATGTGCTGGCTTCCCCAGAGTACCATTGATCGCAGGCATACCTCAAGTGCCACAAATTTCATGTATCATGCACCAACGAAGCCATAAGCTTCGGAAAGACATATTTCAGTTCTCATGTCAATGACCTCGTTGAGCAGAACTCGTCTGGGACTCGGGCTTGCGTATCCAATGAGCCTGCAGGCTCAGCGAGGAGGCTCTGGTCTTTTCGTTGAACCTTGAGGGGTTCAACACAGCCTGACTCGACAGAGTTTTCCTTAGTTTCAATTTGTTGTTCGTTTCAAGTACTACTGGGTAGATTTTAAGAGTGGAATTATACACTGCTCTCTTGGGATAATGAGTCGTTCTTGTGTGCTTGTCACCTTGTGAGTATTGCAGTAATAATTGTACGTTATAGTTGCTATAGGTAGTTTTAGTAGTAGCAGCAATAGCAATATTAGCAGGTAGTAGTGGTAAGTAGTAGTAAGTAGCAGTAGATAGCATTAGTAGATAGCAGTAGATAGTAGCATTAATAGATAGCAGTAGATAGTAGCAATAGGTAGCAGTGGCAGCAATAGTGGTAATAGTCGTAGGTAGTAGCAGCAGTAGGCCGTAGTAGGTATTGGTATTAGGCACAAGTAGGTGGTTTAGTAGGTAGTAGTAGTGGTAACTAGTAATAGGTAGTACTAAACATGAACGCTGAGTAGCTAACATGTATCAATCAGCATTCATAGACACAGAAATATGCACCACAATAACAAGAACAGAAGTAACAAACAATAAAAGCAACTGGAATAAATACCCGATACAAATAAATGTTATCATACGCAGAGAGCGTAAAGTGGTCCCTCCCTCCCAATGCTCTCTTAAGTGCTCTGAACGTTGTCCCTTTTTTTCCCTCGCAGGTGTACGTAACTAACTGCTTTCTCTTTTCTTGTTGCAGGTGTACGTGGAAGTGGAGGACGTGAACGACCACATCCCACAGTCGGAGGAACCATCCTACCACACGTACGTGGCGGAGAACTCTCCTCCTGACACCTCCGTCATCACCCTCAGAGCCTCCGACGGGACCTCTCCCCCTCCAACCTCTCTTTCGCCATTACCAAGGGCAACCAACTGGCCCACTTCAAGATCAACCCCCACACAGGTAAGGGTAAAAAAAAAAAACTTGTAATCAGTCACAAGTATGTCACAGGCATCACCTTGAAATACCTGAAGATCAAACCCTCACACAAGGGCAGGTTTATGTATAATTGAGCTGTAATGAAACGGATCTTTACGTCTCTAACTGATGCTATATAGATTCATACTACAGGCATTTGCTGACATACATTCATAATATGGAACAGAACTAAAATATAATGCTTAGAAGCAGCGGTCATCAGCCCACAAGATTCCATTAATAATACACAAATAATGTGATTAGACGAGATTCCAAACCTAGTGTTGATCAGTAGGTTTGCTGCTGTGCTCCTCTAGTACCATCATCAGTCTGGGACTTATTTTCATATTTTCAATCTCTGTAAGACTCTAAAGCTCTTTAAGGTGAAATGTTAAAACCAGTAAAAGCTTCTACAACTTGTGTTTTTGTCTTCGAAAGTCTTAGAGTTGACTACATAGACCACACAAGATTAATACCGAAACAATTTTTTTTTTAAATAACGCCGGGCATTAATTTTGCTCTGGCCTCGTGGAAGAACCCTCAGGAATGATGCCTAGATTAAATCCTCTTGTTAATTCTGTAACGTGAATAACTAGATATACCCTGAACTGAAAACAAAAGTCTCTGTGCATTTTCAATGGAGCTGCAACATGCACATTTCAGTGTTTTTTTTTTTTTATACTTAGGAATCTGGAAAATAACCTTAAATGTGTAGTTAGTAGCAGTGCTGAAATTGTGTCTAAACATGTTTTACTTTTGTCAACATCTTATTACTGTTATTATAGGTTGGGTAACGAAGTTGATTTGTCTTGTTTCTATTTTTTTTTTTTTTTGTTTGGCTGAGAGCTTGTTACTCCTCTTATACGGTTGACAGTTCGGTTGATATTGGATAACTTCCTGGTCTCCTAGCATGGATCAGTAGGCTTGCTGAAGTGTTATTTTACACTTGTGATCAAACTTAAGGGGGTCACCTAACTTAGGAACCTAGAAAATATCCTTAACTTGATACTTTTTTCTAACTCCTCTGAAGATGAAACTACCTTAGGTCTGTTGTTTATCGCTGTGATATTTTTCTTAATATTTCCACTCACGCTTTTAACTATGATTTAACAAACCTTTATGGAAGATAATTGACCAAAAAAAGAAAGTGAGGCCTCCATAAAAGTTACATAGGCCGCCCAATGAGCCTAACTCTCTTTCATCAAGTGTATGACTTGCTTGTATATTTTAAGACTTTTTTTTTCCAGCTAGTTTATAATCATCTGAACATAGTCTCTAATTAGACCGAAAATATTCGTATTATTTCTGTACTGTTCAATGTGGATTATTCCTTAGTGTATACAAAATATATACGTACATACATAAATTATTCCCAGAATCATTCAAACTTGGCAAAATTATTATAGTATTAATTCATTAACTAATCAAAATAATAACCGAGATAAGCGTGTTGAAGTAGGATTAACGTTAATCAGAGAACATTCAACGAGCGTTACAAGAAAGTTGAAGCTGTTTTTCAGATGTCATTAGCTGTCTGACTGGAGTTAGATGTGCAAATTAACACTAGTGAGGTGCAAACCCCTGTAGCATTACAAGTTCTTTAATAATAACTTAAGCAACATTAATGGATACCTGGGATTGCAGCGAGATCAAAGACAGCAATAATAATAGTAATAATAATCATAGTGAACCATTACACTATTGGAAAATTAATGTGCCAACAATTACTGGAGTAACAGTTAATTAAATTAAACGTTATTATCTGCATTACACAAATAGATTTAATTAATTTTAAAGAAGACTACAGATTAAGGCCAACAATAGCCATTAAAGCCCAGAGGGCAGCGCTGGGAGTGGTGCTTTCAGCGCTGGGAATGGCAATTAAGGTGCTGGGATTGGTGCAGCCCTCAGACCAGTCAACGGAGGAATTTATCTCATGTAATGTCTGTGATAAGGAATACATTATTATTTCACGTATTTAAAAAAAAAATCACATGAAGTGTATAATAAAATCTAAAACAGTGTATTTTTAGCCAGTATATTTTAATTTTAGTTGTAAACAGGAACATTCCGAAAATTCATAAATTATCATCAGTTTCGTATAAAAGCGTATTAATTGATATATTTCATCTTAAAAAATGAAGTATGTCAGAAAATGCCTTCCACGAAACTTAAGAGGTACACAAACATATTTACGCATGTGTCTTATAATGCTTGCTTGTTGCATCGGAACGCTGGCCACCTGATGAAGTGGAGCGACGCCTGCTTGGTTAAGGAACCAGACATCCGGAAGCGTAAACGTATGCAGGCTGCATTAATTTTCACCTCAGAAACAGTACCACAAAAGGGTGGCTTTACAAGATCCGAGATACTGCCCAGGTGGTGGTACATTCTTGTTGCTGTGCTGTTATGTTTGCAATGCACTAGAACCTTTTGGTTCTTCAATGCATTTAAAATATTATAACATAAAACAAATTTACACTGTCAGTACCAATCTGCTACTGTCATGACCATTTCACTTTCATATTACATAAACCATAACCACAACGCAATTAAACTATTCAGAATCTATTTTTTACATTCTCAGGACCACTGTTTGAGCCCCTGTCCACTTTTGATTTATATAAGTGTTATAGTTTGTGGATATTGGATAATCATATTGCCAGCGTGGGGTCACCCTACCTTGGTAGGTCACAGTGCTCAAGAATCCCTCTGTACTGAGCTCCACCTCGCAGGTCGGAGAATGGATGGTTCTCTACACCTTGGTGCAGATTCTACACCACGGCTCCTACAAAACCTCGCCATCGGTGTAATTATTCAAATGAGCCGAGTGATCTGGGAGAGGTAATTGCCAGCTTCGAGGCTCAAGCTTTGATGAAGACGAAGATGTAATGTGTTTCATTATACCGGCGTTGGAGCGCCTTCACCCGAAGATAATAATCAGGTTAAACGTCTTGATAAGCAAATCAGCGCCCGGAGCCTCACGGAAGACGGTCAACACACATTCCTTCACTGGCCCTTCTCGTAAAACACCCAGTGTTATTTTCTTCAAGAGAAACATTGTTCTGTCGGTAATTGAAGGGCTTTTGCGTAATTTTGTTGAAAATATTTCGCTGCTATCGAAGGAAAACTATGGGTCATTTTATATAAATTAAAAAAATAACAATGATTAAAAGTTTTAACCCAAAGAAAATCGGAATTAGGTAAAAAAAAAAATTAATTGGAAGTTAGACGAGAAGATTTCCATTTCCAAAAACAAAAAAGCGGCGATGATTTTTGTTACGGACGGTAATTTTCAGTGAAGAAAATTGTCTATTATTCATTAAATTACAAGACTCGCCTGACTTCCCACCATCAGATCACTGTTGCTTTAATGTTTTAACAACCCCAGGGACAACCCAGGTCATTAGTTCCCAGGCCCAAGCACTCGCACGCACAATTTCACGAACCTATACATGCGCACATGCACGCAAGTAGGCACGAGCACTTCAAGGTGGCCCAGTGCCATGAGAAGGGGAATGGGTAAGTAGGTGAAAACCTGTGTGAACCACTGGCAGGCAATGGAACAACACATAGTGTGACACCAGTTTTCAAATATTGCGAGTCACAACAACCAACAACCTGATTGACCATGTCTCTAACACCATCTCCAACGCCACTTGTTACACCTACACACACACACACACACACACCACACACACACACACACACCTACACACACACACACACACACACACACACACACACACACACACACACACACACACACACACACACACAACCTACACACACACACACACACACACCTACACACACACACACACACACACACACACACCTACACACACACACACACAACCTACACACTACACACACACACACACACACACACACACCCTACACACACACACCACACACACACACACCTACAACACACACACACACACACACACACACACACACACACATCACGATGACAACAGATGGGGAAGTATTATACAGAATATATCAGTAATAAAATTTAGCTAATGTAAATGAATTACACGAAAAGTAAACAAAAACAATTCAAGGTCAGTGTTCTTTAAAAGTTGTTGTAATGAAACAGTTCCCTCACTTTGTACACAGTTCTCCACTCTATATTTACACAGTTCTCCACTCTATATTTACACAGTTCTCCACTCTATATTTACACAGTTCTCCACTCTATATTTACACAGTTCTCCACTCTATATTTACATAGTTCTCCACTCTATATTTACACAGTTCTCCACTCTATATTTACACAGTTCTCCACTCTATATTTACACAGTTCTCCACTCTATATTTACACAGTTCTCCACTCTATATTTACACAGTTCTCCACTCTATATTTACATAGTTCTCCACTCTATATTTACACAGTTCTCCACTCTATATTTACACAGTTCTCCACTCTATATTTACACAGTTCTCCACTCTATATTTACACAGTTCTCCACTCTATATTTACATAGTTCTCCACTCTATATTTACACAGTTCTCCACTCTATATTTACACAGTTCTCCACTCTAATTTACACAGTTCTCCACTCTATATTTACACAGTTCTCCACTCTATATTTACATAGTTCTCCACTCTATATTTACACAGTTCTCCACTCTATATTTACACAGTTCTCCACTCTATATTTACACAGTTCTCCACTCTATATTTACACAGTTCTCCACTCTATATTTACATAGTTCTCCACTCTATATTTACACAGTTCTCCACTCTATATTTACACAGTTCTCCACTCTATATTTACACAGTTCTCCACTCTATATTTACATAGTTCTCCACTCTATATTTACACAGTTCTCCACTCTATATTTACACAGTTCTCCACTCTATATTTACACAGTTCTCCACTCTATATTTACACAGTTCTCCACCCTCAGTTTACACAGTTCTCCACCCTCAGTTTACACAGTTCTCCACCCTCAGTTTACACAGTTCTCCACCCTCAGTTTACACAGTTCTCCACCCTCAATATTTACATGTTATGGTCTGGAAGACGTGATGAAGCACTAAGGGGGATGGGAGGGGAGAGGGGGGAAGGATAGGGGGGTGGAGGGCAGGCTCCCACCCTCCGCCTTCACAGCTAAAATTTACTATGAATTTTCCATTACATTTTCCATTAAAAGGAGGTGTGAAATGGGGAAAGTGAGCAAGGCAACGCGGAAAGAATGCGTATCACTTGGCACTGCGCGAGGATCCAGTGTTATGTAGACGGTGTTAACCAATAGTGGCGGTAGTCGTGTTATTTTCTGGCCTAACAGTTGGTGTGTTAGGTGAGATCTGCAGATCCATGGAGGGTGATCAAGGCTGCATGTCAACACCGCACCACCAGACAGTGATACTCTTAAACGTAATTAAAACATGCACTGAATGACTAAAGTGTCATGAGCACTTGTCAGTGCTAAGTAATAATCCACATGGAGACAAAGACAGGAGGTTGATTGAAGGGGATCGAAATATACAGATCAATGAACCTTTGTTTGTGTCCATGTGGGTTATTATTGAACAAGAAGCGACAGGTTAAGAACTGTGCATCTGCATTACGTTCTGTTCTCGCATCTTTATTGTTGATAATCGTGCGTGTATTTATCACATACTCTCTCATGCACTGATATCTAATACAGAAATAGAAGTAAACGAAGCGTAATCATACAGAGACATACACCCATCAACTTGCACATACACTGCTGCACTTATTGCATACACATCAACATAGAGATGTGTGCATTCACTTAAATCAAAGATTGTAAACTTGAGTTAAGCGCAAGGAACCACGCTGTATAAAGAGTTTAAACGAGTTTACTAAGTAACTAGAAAGTTAACTAACCGCCCGGCATCGTTGAATATTGTCAGCTTTTGAATTTTGCAGTTTCCGATTAACGATGTAAAAATGTTAATGAAATGCAAAAAAAAAAAAAAATTACCACGACTGATTGTTGATTAGACCGACACATCCCCGGTCTACGGTAGTCTACATTCTGGGTGATTCATGTCTACGCGTCGCTCTGAATTCTAGTTTCCTCCTGAATAAGTCGCAAGTGCAGAAACAAGGGAACACGCGTCTTTCACACTCCTATGGCCACGGGGAAGCGTTAAACCCGTATGGGCGTCCCGTGCTCCAGGAAAATGACAGACAGTTCGCTCTTGATCCTGTGATCAAGAGCCCTTCACCGGTGTTTTGGAATCATCCCTCGTAAGGGAGAAACTCCCGTATATAATTTGCATACTTTGCAAATCTATGTGATCACTTTGAGTTTTTTTTCTTGTTATTTATAAAATATATTCGTAATGTTGGGGATTTTTTTTTTTTTTACTTTGCATGAAATATTTTTTTTTTATAGGCATCATTTTTTTTTTTTTTGCTTTGCACGAAATTTTGTTTTGCTTTGCATTTTTTTTTTTTTTTGGCTTTCCATGAAAAATTCTTTTTCCCTGGCTTGATTTTTTTTTTTTACTGGTCTCTGATAACTTCCGAAAAGCTAGCGTGACCGGTAGGTAAGTTAGGGCACTCGAGGCTGCCACTTACTGTAATAAGCTGAACATTGTCCCATTATTGGTGAACACATTACCTCCGCAGGTTACAATGTATTGCATCATTGAGTGTGTCAGTATTGACACGCCTCACCCGAAAATTACAGTCTTGAAAAACAAAAATGTGTTGGTAATGATATGTATAAACTCCGTGAAATTCCTCCTCTGTAAAGCAAAGTTCGTTACAATAAAAATCTTGACAGCTATCGTAGTAGTAGTAGTATTGTAGAAATAATATCGTAGTAACATCGTAGTAGTAATAGGCTCCTGGATAAACAAAGTTACGAATCTTACTGTTGTTGGTCTTCAGGCTGGAATCAACGCTTAAGCCTTGGGGAAGACCAGAAATTATTAGTTATGATTATTATTATATATTTTAACATATCGGCCGTCTCCCCCTAAGGTAAGGTGACCCGAAAAAGAAACACACCTTGACCGTTATTCAATCACTGTCTTGTCAGAAGCGTGCGGACATAACGGCTCAAGACAGCCTTCTGAATTGCAACATTTCCAGCCTTCCTTCCCCCTTCCTTCAGAGTGCAGCTAAACGATTTCCGTCGAATCCCTTCATAAATGTCATGAACGTTACCTTGCTCACACTCCAACATCACTTCAAATAATAAAAACCACTTGCCTCCACATCTAACTTAAAAAGGAAAAAATTCAGTGTCGGTTCTGAAAGCGTCATAAGTTCACCCGAGATACGAGGTGTGTGTGCACGTGTTTGGGGAGAGGGGGAAGGGAAGGGGGCAGGAATATTCTAGCTCTGGTCACTAATCTGATGACCGAGAAGCTATTGACTTTCCATCTCGTGCGGTACGGCGAGAGAAACGTTTCCAATCCCCCCCCCCCCAAAAAAAAAAAAAAAAAAAAGTTACAGATAGTAGCAGCAGGGTGGTGGCTAATCATCTCGGGTGCTAGAACCTCGCCTCCTTGAAATATGAAAGAGGTCTTATAAATTCTATGCGGCATGTGTTCGAGCAGCTTTTGGAACGTGAAGAGTTCTTGTGGCAGAGCCTTTGAAGGATTCCATCGTATCTCGTCAAAGGGATGCCTGATTCACTGCTCTGCACCGTGACAAGTGAGACGAGGCACTTGTGTCTCTTGAGTAACCTATTGCTGTGAAGGCTGTGGAATACCTGGAAAAAGCAAAATGTGCCTCATCCTGCGTTCCTGATCTTATGGTCACGCTGCCAGCTAGCCCCAGGCTCGCAATCACATCTTTAAGTGATTCGAGATGGTACCACAGGAAGAAACAGACTATTAGAGGGGAAACGAGCTACTTAGGGGAAAACATACTACTCTAGAAGGAAAGTTCCTGGTTAGTTGAAAAGACTGACGCTTCTTTTTTAAACTCATGTTTACATGAAAACAAAAATCTTCAAAAGGACACTGGATCACTACTTCCGCCGAGTGCTAGATCAACCAGGCTGACAGTAAACAGCCTGGTTAAACAGGCAATCAACAAGTAAGCCTGGTTAAACAGGCAATCAACAAGTAAGCCTGGCTAAACAGGCAATCAACAAGTAAGCCTGGCTAAAGGCCGGGTTTGAAAAGTCCTTGAAACTAGTTACAGGTAGATATTAAGAGCTCACCGTGTATGTTGTGGGTCGCCTGCGCGTTGTATCCTCCTGAAACCACAACTGTTTGCACTGACACTTGCAATTACGTTCAATGACAATGATGGCGATGCAGTAAACAAGATTATTTGTTACACTGAAGTGATCCGTAATTTACACTGAGACCTATTTTGTGTTATTTTGATTGATCTCGTAGATCAGTTATTATGAATAAACACAAGAATGTATACGGACTCAAGCTGTGGTCCTTGCATGTAGCAGGAACAACGCTGTTACCATTCAGCTACTGACCTTACAATAGAAAGATTTTACAATCAGCACTGATGTCTGATGCACCAACTGCGCCTTTACTGTTTCATCTCACAGTCAAATCTTTCAAGGAACATCTGTTCTCATACACCTCGGAACCATATAGTCCAGTGGATTATATTTATGTTGAAAACCTCATGTGTAAATAATGCATACAGGCATGAGCGACACCTACAGTGAGTTGGCATGTTCTTCTGTATGTACGAAGAAACATTTGAAAACAGTTCAAGAAAACAGTGGGCTAGGAGATGCCATGAGAATGTTAATAAGCCCAGCACGAGTAAAGAATCTCTAGCGCGCGAGAGAGGCTACAAGGAACCACAGAACAGGAGTGAGGGCAAGGAGCCACATACAACAGGAGTAAGAACAAGGAGCCATATACAATAGGCATACAACAGAAGTGAGGATAAGGAGCCACACACAAGAGTAAGGACAAAGAACCCCACACAACAGGAGTAAGAAAAAGGAGCCACAGACAAAAGGGCTAAGAACAAGAAACCCCACACAACAGGAGTAAGGTCATGAAACCCCACACAACAGGAATAAGGATACATCTCCTGCACGCAGGATGTTCTATAAGGACTCTCACATTTATGCAAAGCGAGCTTGAAAAAGAAATAGAAAGGATGCTGAAAAATCTCTTGGACTTGCTAAGCGCCGCTATTACAAAACGTGGGAGAGGGTCTTCCAGAGTGTATTCATGAATACAAATAAGGCAGAGATCAAATAACAGAGGAAATGGATGTTGGAAGTTGATGGGTATCGTAAGAGGTAACAATATCCGGAGTGGTGAGACGAACTGAAATTGTACAGGTGGATAATGTCAAGACAGAAGGGGTTAGAGGGAGTTTTCAATTCATAAATGCTGCGAAGGAAAGGTGTGTGTGTGTGCGTGTTAATCACCAGGATGTGTTATTGCAGGGTTGGTGAGCACACTGTGGCCGCTGGACCGGGAGGACGTGCCCGAGTATGAGCTGTGGGTGACGGTGAGTGACGGTGAACACTCCTCCACCACCCCCGTCTTCGTCACCGTCAGCGACGTCAATGACAACCCTCCGGAGTTTCTGGAGGAGCTTTACCGCGTCACCGTCCCCTCCCGGAGCAAGACCAGGAAGAGGGAGGCGCTTTTCAGGGTAAGTTCTCTTCTTCCTATTCTTCTTCTGTCCCCATCCTCCTCCTCCTCCTCCCCCTCCTCTCGATTTTCCTTGTGCTGGTGTATGAGAGAAAGATTAAATTGAGGGGAGAAGAGCGGGAGGGCTATGGTTAAGGTGACATATAACTCTTGGGAAATAAGAGGTCATCAGGTTTGATCCAGAGAAAGGGAGGGTGGCTCCAAGTCCTCGGTTCAAGAGCTCTTACACAAACCAAGACAAGAAATGCACACACACACACACACACACACACACACGAGGATGAGTCGTTCAAACATAGTCCCCCACAAAAAAGTAATCGTTCACATATAGCAATGTCATTTTCAAAGACGAACAGCGAATTGTTCACACAACATACCCAGACACGGGCACACTGCCAGCGAACTGGTACAAGACATTCAAACAGGATCAAACAACGATGCGCGTCTATGAACACAAGATACTGTCCGTGAGACACAACGCTGAGGTAAACAAGAGATGTTGATTCATTACAGAAGAAAACTCACACTTTGTAGAACACGTTTTATTTAGAAAAAGTTTCTCTTTAAGAAGAAGAGCTTCATGAAGTCTTAACTTGGTAAAGCTCTAAACACGTCGAATTTTTTTCTCAGTAAAAGGTTGGTCTGTTAAGTGATCCTTTTCTTGTGTATTGTTGGCAGTGTGACGTTTGGACTCACGTCTTCATGAAAGGAATCAGGGTACAGACGCACAGTACAAGTGTCATGTGGATGGTCAGCTGTACCCATGCCCATGGAATGGGGAAGGGAGGGGTGGTAAATTCGCTCCTTACCCATCCAGTGGGAAATAGTTAAAACAGATTACAGATGCGCGTAAGTCCAGGGACTAGGTTACAACATTTGTTTGCAAAGTTACAGTGGTGCATACACTTACAGGTTACAGTGATATTCGCAGATCTACAAGTTACAGTGGTGTTCAAATATTTGCAAGTTACAGTGGTATTCAAATATTTATCTTAGTGGTATTAGCATACTTAAGTTATTGATCATATGAGAAACAAGAGTAGCATCAGGTGAGCGATATCAAGGCGTTTTTCACAACGTCAGCGTTGTCTAGAGGGTTTGTGGTGGGGGATGGGCTGATGTGTCGGGGGAGGTGGGGGTGATGGGGTGGAGGAGAGGAGGTTGTAGCTAAGCCAGGAGGAGAGTAGCTGAGAGGGGATAATTAGACTTCCTTCCAGGGAGGAGGATGAGTCCAGCCCTTAAACCTCTCTTCTCTGTTTAATATGTGTGAAGGAGGGAGGGAGGGAGGGCATATTGCTTGAAGGACTCGGCTGGAGATGAGAGGAAGACAGAAGATAAGAGGAAAGAGAGGGAGGGAGGGAGAGAGTCAGAGACAGAGACAGACAGAGACAGAGTTGAGGCTTTCTAAGCCTCACGGTTGACTTGGTCAGTAGTGAAGATTGGCCTCAGGCTGGTCATCCAGAGTAGAACTTTCGAAGCCGCTGACAGGTATGTCTGCCTGGATTATATTCCGAGGGTCGACGCCCCCGCGGCCCGGTCCCAGACCTGGTCTTTCCCGTGAATGACCTAATCAGCCAGGTTGTTGGTACCAGGTGCATGCAGTCCAATGTAAGCACCACAGCCACGCTGATCAGGATCCGACTTGATATTAGGAATATCAAATAATTTTGACCCACTGACTGTGGTGCACTCTGGTGGTGAGTGACGCACCCTCTACACTCACTGTGGGTGACATGCCACCACTCACAAGAATGGCACTACTCACAAGACTGGCACCAGTCACATGATTGACATGCCAAAAATTAACCATCACAACAGGTCTAAGGCAAAATAAACTCAATGAAGAGCAGAGGACCCGTGAGCACAACTAGAGAACACTGTATCAACATCCTGGCCCCAAACTACTCATCTTGCCAGATTTCAAAAACACTGCTGGGACAAGTGTAGAAGTTTTCAAGAGGAAACTGGACAAGTATCTCCACCAGGTGCCAGACCAACCAGGCTGTGATGGATATGTGGGGCAATGGGCCGCTAGCAGCAGCAGCCTTCGTGACCAGGCAAACACCACACAAACCTGGCCATGGCCGGTCTCCGGGAGTAGAAAAAATCCCGAAACTCTTCAAAGGTATATAAAGATCAAGGTATGCACACGGTCCAAGATAATCAAATTCAAACATTAAATTTACTGTAATCCCCCAAGATAGTGATTAAAATATGCTTAGCGTTACACACACACACACACACACACACACAACACACACACACACGTCATTATATTATATCCTGTGTCGAGGAGGTAGTGGAGCTGGGAATGAGAACAAAGAGGAGGAGGGAAGAGGAGGAGAAGGGAAGAGAGAGAGAGGGAGGAAATGTTTTTGTTGGCGCTGTTATGCGGATGGGTTGGCAGAATAGAGTGATACTATGCACCATAACCTGGGTGTAAGCTGGTGTCTTTACTATGGCTCACACCCGGGTGTAAGCTGGTATTTTCACCGTGACTCACCTGGGGGGGGGGGAAGTTTGTGTAAGCTGGTGTCTTAAAACCGTGACTCACCTGGGTGTAAGTAAGCTGGTGTCTTCACCTTGACTCACACCTGGGTGTAAGCTGGTATCTTCACTTTGCCTCAACACCAGCCAGGTTGTTGTATAAACCTTATAAACCGTCTTCATAATTCCAAGCATTCTCGCGTCTCCAGCCTCACTGCGTGTCGGGATTATGTGTGTGTGTGAGAGAGAGGAGAGAGAGAAAAAAGAGAGAAGAGAGAGAGAGAGAAAAAAAAGAGAGAGAGAGAGAGAGAGAGAGAGGTAATTGGCCAGCCCTTTGCTATGAGCTCACCACCATCAATTGGAATGCTCTTCTCCAAGGGGATATTGACAACCAAGTGAAAGCCTTCACTGGACACATCCTTAATCTACAACAAGAACACATTCCTCACCGGCAATATGTGACGAAGCCTACAGATCAGCCTTGGTTTGGCTTTCGTTGTAGAGAGGCTGCTGCTGCTGCTAAGTACAAGGCATGGCGAAGGTATAAGAGACATCCTACCACCTATAACAGGAACTTGCACAGACAAGCCTGTAGGCATATGGGTGACGTTCAAAAGTGGGCCATCGGTGAATGGGAGATGGACACAAAAAGAAAGCTAGCATCAGGTAGGGTAGGCTCCAAAACCTGGTGGTCCCTGGTCAAGGACAGCCAAGGTTATCTGCCAGATGAACTCATTCCACCTATAAATCGACAGGATGGGACCACCTCTACTAGTAGTTAAGAGAAAGCGGACCTCTTTGCTGAACACTTTGCTACCAAAATGCAAGTTCCTGATCCAGCAAGGGACCCTCCTTGGCGCTGCAAGAACTGTGTCAAAACTGTCAGGCAGTTCCTGTAAGGCAGGAAGAAGTGTATTTCCTTCTTAAATCACTTGACCAAGAAAAGGCTGTGGGCCCAGACAAGTTGAGCCCAAGATTGCTGAGATGATGTGCAGACCAGCTAGCAGCACCTCTAACTCGCATCTTTCAGCACTGCCTAGTACAGTGTAAATGGCCTTCTCTGTGGAAAGAGGCAAATGTAGTCCCTGTTCCAAGAACAGAAATCAACAACTACAGACCAGTGTCACTCCTGTCAATCACTGGCAAGCTCCTTGAGACAATAATCTCAAGAGTTTTTTGACTACCACTCACTACTTTGTGACCGTCAATATGGCTTCAGGAAAGGTTATTCTGCTGATGATCTGTTGTTAAACCTCTCCACTAAGTGGCACCAGTCACTGGATGAATCCAAAGTCAACTGTGTGGTAGCATTGGACATTGCTGGTGCTTTCGACCGGGTGTAGCACCAGGGCCTCTTAGCAAAACTGCAAGCTCTGGGAATTGCAGGCTTTACGTTATGGCTCCTCAGTGATTACCTTCATGGTAGATCTCTAAGGGTAGTTCTCAATGGAACAGAATCAGCAAGACATCCTGTTGGGGTAAGTGTTCCACAAGGAAGCGTTCTGGGATCATTGTTATGGAATGTCTACTTCAATGACCTTCTTCATCTCATCCCAGAATCCCATGCATATGCAGACGACTGTACACTGACATTCACTTATCCAAGAGAAGAAATGCCAGCTGCTCTAAGCTACATCAATCACCAGCTAAGAGCTATATCAGCTTGGGGAAATAGATGAGAGGTAACATTTGCACCTGAGAAAACACAAATGATGATTATCTCTAGGCACCACGATGGTAATGCTGTTGCAGTAGTAAGGATGAATGGAAGGGTGTTGGCACCTGGGGAAGAAGTTGATATCCTTGGGGTGAAATTTGACTCCAAGCTGACCATGAAAAACCACGTTGTAAATCTTTAAAACAAGGCAGCCAGGAAGCTTACAGCACTTCGTCATATCTCGCATCTGCTTGACAGCAGGGGTTGCAAGATTTTGTTCGAGGCACAAGTACGCTCACACCTTGAGTATGCTCCACTTTCTTGGTTCGCCTGCCCCCCTTCTCATCTGCGACTGCTTGACAGAGTAGAGAACAGAGCAAGACGTCTCATCTCTCGCCTGGACCAGTCCTGGATAGATCTGTCATTTCAACAGAGCCTTTAACAGAGGAGGGATGTGGGTGGCCTTACTGTTATGTACAAGGCCAGTATTGTCAAAGTACCACACTTGGATCCACTTCGAGGACAGCGTGAAGCAAGCTTCTATACCACAAGATGGGCAGAAAGCAGCAACTTCACTCTGGCTGTAACCTTCTCCAGAACATCACTTCATCTGAGATCATTTATCCCCAGGATGACTCTAGTATCGAACACATTCGTACAGCATTATGATGTCAACGAGACAAAGTCAGTTGATTAGATGAAAATGCTGGCCCACAGATGGCTCCAACTTCATCCGGTTCCCTACTTGTATGTTTCATAACAATAAAAATGCTTTCAAATGAGCTGATGTAGGTAACAGCTCTTAGCTTGTCAATAAAGCTTGGAATCCTTAACCTGTATATAGCTTGCCAATAAAGCTAGGGATCCTTACCCTAACCTTGTCAAACCCTGTGTAAAAGAGAGAGAGAGAGAGAGAGAGAGAGAGAGATACAATGAGATTGATTCACTGAAAGACATAATGTTACTTAACACAGTGAAATACATCGTTAGAAATTTTATTTTTAAAAGCAGTTCGACATTTTTTGAGAATGCTTCTCTCTAGTTCTTTTCCGAATGTTGATCAATTTTACGGAACAAATTGGAATGTCGAGAAGAATGGTAGAAGGAAGAACTTGAGGGAGAGAAAAGAGCTGCAGTATAAGGTATGACGGTTAACGTGAATAGAGTGAAATAGGGTGGAGTGGAGGAGGGGGTGATGGTGGGGAAGTTGTGAATTTAAGGGAGAGGTGAAAGGGAAAGGGTGAATGAGGGGGTTGGGTGTAATGGGTACGAGATAATGAAAACATGACAGTCAGAATACCTTGGCAGGAATAGTTCATTATTCAGGCAGTGCTGAGAGGAAATGTATGACGAGGTTTGGGAGCGTCCTGGAGGAAGGTGTGGTCCAGTATGAACACTTTTGTCCAGGAGTGTCCTCTCCTAGCTAGTACAGATATTTCTAGCCAGGTATATAGATGGTGTTATTCTATTAAATACTAGCCAGTTATACAGTTTTACCTTATGCATTACTAGTCAGGTATGTAGCGAGTGTTATCTTTATTACTATCCAGGTATGTCACTGGTGTTATCAAAGTCTTTCCACCTCCTTAATAGTAAATGAAAAAAAATAAATTATAACTTATTTAATATTATGCTGTATGTGACAATTTAAAATGCCTCTTTTTTTACAGCGTTATTACCCAGATATTAAATGTGTGTGTAGGCCAGTTGAGCGTGCAGAGCCACCAGTGTTTGTCCCATTCTCTGGCAAACAGTGTTTACTGTACATTAATGATATATTTCCATTATGGATGTGTATGTGTGTTGTAACGTGGCCACCTTGTTGGTGATGGCACGTGTCAAGGGGCCCTCACTCACCATGGCTCTCACGCCCTCCTTCCACACCAACCTGTAGCTGCTGCCTTCGTAAAGCTTGTGTGTCTTCTGTAAATACACCTTTTGCTTCCCTGTCCTTGATGCTATGTATGTGTCGGTGGTGGTGCAGCCCGACCCTGTGGACGATGGCAGTGAGTCGGCGTGGGCGTGGGGGGACTGGGTCTCTTTCACGCCCACACAGATCACCGCCCACGACGACGCTTTGTTCAGGGTAAGAGGGGCACAAGCGACGCTGGAACTTGTGAGATGGTATTTTTGTGTGTGCACGTACGGCATGTTCATATATTTTGTTCATTTTAGTAATGCTCATATCCTGTTGCTGAGAGTGTCAGTATTTTATTATTTTTTATATATATTTTTTTTCTTATAACACATGGCAAGAATCGAGGGGGCAGTGTGTTATTATTTTCATTATAGTCATGGCGGAAAACACTAAATCCGCAGAGGTCACAGAGAGGCTTGTGAATGAGAGATTAAAGACTTTCGGTGCAACTGAGGAGAGGATTGCTTCAGGACTTCAGATCAGACGCCCTGTACCTGCATTAAGATACCTTCCCCTCCCATAGAGTGTGTGTGGCTTAGTTACCAGCTGTCAAAGGCACTTGGCCTCTGTATGTGTGTGTGTGTGTGTTTGTGTTATGGTACTCTCACGATTAATACAATTTAGGAGCATTGATTTCAACGCTGTAATTGGCATTCCTTTGTGATTTACTACAGCATTCATTACTGGTAGTGCAGGAATATACAAACAAGTCTTTGTCGATATTTAGTGGCAAATCATTTGAGGATTATCGTCCAGTGTCCCGTCACCTGCATCAATGTGACACTCGCTTTTCACCTATTTCATTAATGAGACACAAAAAGTGAACAATTTATTGTTTTTGTTTTATTATGTGTTGCCCATAACATTACTAAATTAAAAGAATAACCATAGATTTTTTTTATACTTCTATTTAATTTTAAAACTTCTTAAATTCAGAAAGCTGTGTATGTTATCAGTGTGAGTTTACACAATGAGGCAGCACATACTGTAAATTTTTGATAAGAAAATCATGTTACGAACTCAGTTCCTCGAGATTTAGAAGCATTTGCAATATACAACAAACATGATTTGTGCTTCTGTTCTTCAACTTTGAAATATTAATATGCAGTACAGAAATATTTAGCTTTGTTGACGTCGTACATATATCATATAACGCAGTGTTTTTTCAAGCTTTTTTTTTTTACCCTTGACCCAGCAATATCTCACACCCTCACGACCTAATTCCCGTATTTAGTCTTAAAAAATTGGTCTACTTGGAATCTTAATCAAATTAACAGTTAGGCTAATTGGAATCTTTCCAGTCATTAGTTAAGTCATTCTGCATTAATTTGTAGATATATTTCAAATTTACCAGGTGAGTGTGACTGATGGTCCTGTCTGTTGCTTGTTAAGTGTGACTTGTGGTCCTGTCTGCTGCTTGAGTGTGACTAATGGTCCTATCTGTTGCTTGCTGAGTGTGACTGGTGGTCCTATCTGTTGCTTGAGTGTGACTGGTGGTTCTGTCTGTTGCTTGTTGAATGTGACTGATGGTCCTATCTGTTGCTTGTTGAGTGTGACTGGTGGTCCTATCTGTTGCTTGAGTGTGACTGGTGGTTCTGTCTGTTGCTTGTTGAGTGTGACTGGTGGTCCTATCTGTTGCTTGAGTGTGACTGGTGGTCCTATCTGTTGCTTGTTGAGTGTGACTGGTGGTCCTATCTGTTGCTTGTTGAGTGTGACTGGTGGTCCTGCCACGTGACTTGAGCAACTGTGTCAACCATTTTTTGGTAGTCATCAAATCTTGCAAAACTTATAAAATCAAAAGTATAACATGTAAAACTTTTTATGGCCTACACATGGACTTAGTAATGTTGCATCATCGCTTTATGCAACCTTGAAGGCTTGGTTTAAATAGCCTGAGATTAACATACTTACGTATGAGGCCAGACACAAACATTCCTTTTAATAATTTGTGTGCAAGTAAAATTTGTGTATTTTCTCTCACAATAGGCCTAAACTAGTTTAAAAGAGTGTCGAATTAAATTTTGGTTTCTAGCACAGAGGTTTAAGAAACGAATCTGTAGAAAGTGGAACAACAGAGACAGGAGCAAGGAGATGCTTTGGTAATGAATGGATAAGTTAGTAGACTTACCAGTTGTTAATGCAGGTAGAAGAGTGACTAGGCTTGCAGGAGTGTGGATGGTGGGCCTCCAAAGAAGGCCAGCAGGTGGTCGTGTGGACTAGACCGGGTGGTAAAGTGGACTGGAATGGTGGTAAAGTAGATTAAGCTTGGGGTAAGAGGTTGCTTTGGGGCTGACACTGCCCCCTCTGCTACTGCCGGGTAAGTGCCACATGTTATGACCATCACACAGCTTCCTGAGCCAGGCCACGTGACCTCTTGTGACTTAAGTGTACCCCGTGGTCATGCATGACAATCTTTTATCTTCAGCGAGTGCTGTATCACACAGCTCGCTTGTGTGACGCATTTTTTGCTTGCATTTCGTGTTCTTGTGTTCGGAACTAATACCCTCTTTTCTTATTCTATGTACACTAAAGCAAAATTAGTTGCTACTTGTAGAGGAAGTTTATCATCAGAATTACTGGAACGTGTCTACTACTGTCCGATGGTGACTTCAACAAAGGAACAGTTCTGAAAAAATCATGATGTATTTTCTTTAATTTGTGAATGTCAAAAGCTGCAGTGGATGCAATTGCTTTACAGCAGACGTGTTTGATCTAAATGATAATGACTGCTGGAATCGTGCTTTTTACATATATTCTGTGAGAATTTTAAGCGGCATATGTTTGTTATAGAATTTGACCTTTCCTAGAATGTGGTGGCCATCTTTATCATATTTATGTTGCCCTCTAGGTGTTTTGTGCTATATTGTTTGTGACTTGAGTTTTGCTTCTCTTGTATTCCTTATAACACTTATAAAGTTGTTGGAGACTACGATATTAGGTGGATGTAGCTGTAGGAGCTGTCTGACAGTTCAGGTCATTCAGTGCTCAGGTCAGTAACCAAATATTGTGTACTTTCTAGGCACAGAAATATTATATACAACACAAACACGAAGATAAAATTAAGAAACAACGAAAATTGTTGACACGAATAGAAGTTAAAATAACCACCAACAGTTATTTGAGGAAGACTCGTCCAGCCTAGTGCATATATCCTCGTTTTATATATATATATATATATATATATATATATATATATATATATATATATATATATATATATATATATATATATATATATATATTACAGACCTAGCTGACACTGACATACTATATAGAAAGCTCCTGGTATGCAGAGTCCCCCAGGATGCGACCCACAACTGTCGGGTAACAGGTTTTTCAATTTTCGTAATCGAATGATGAGGCCAAACACACATACAAGTAACATTGGAAATTATAATGTAGCATCAGTAGTTCGATTTTAACTTATTTAACGGTACTTACTCTCTAAAAATGCTAATAAGGAGTTAAAAATGATTTAACCATCCAAACCCAACTTAAATAACTCCCGGTATGTACGGAAATTAGCTTAAAGAGTTACGTAAAAAGTAAACGATCCACATATATTACAAGTATATATACGAGACTTCTATTTGGGTCAACCCGATGTCTTTTTGACTTATTTGTCTATGTATGTCTTGTATACTGTTTATCCGGTTCAGTAACTGGTTTAGGAAGTGGAGGTGAGTTTGGTTATGCGTCATTTCCTCTTTCCTGATGAACACTTCCATCGTGAAGAAAATGTTTGTTCACATTATCAATGTTGGTGGTAATAATTTATACACAAACTCCAT